TCTTTGCTAAAACATAACAAGAGTTCCCAACATGTTGCTTATCTCGATCTGAGACCACCTCAGCACATTATTGTCCATATTGCTATCAGCATTTTGGGCAAAGCCATTAAACAAGTCTCTAGGAAGTTTCAAACTTTCCCACATTTTTCTGTCTTCCTCTGAGCCCTCCAAACTGTTCTGTCCTCTGCCTGTTACCCAGTTCCCAAGTCACTTCCACATTTTCTGTTATCTTTTCAGCAACACCCCCCACTTCTGGTACTAATTTACTGTATCAGTCTGTTTTCATGCTGCTGATAAAGACATACCCAAGGCTGGGAAGAAAAGGGGGTGTAATTGGACTTACAGTTCCACATGGTTAAGGAGACCTCAGAATTATGTCAGAAGGTGAAAGGCACTTCTTACATGGCAGCAGCAAGAGAAAATGAGAAAGAAGCTAAAGCAGAAATCCCTGATAAACCCATCAGATCTCGTGAGACTTATTCACTATCACGAGACTAGTACAAGAAAGACTGGCCCCCATGATTCAGTTACCTCCCCTTGTGTCTCTCCCACAACATGTGGGAATTCTGGCAGATATAATTCAAGTTGAGATTTGAGTGGAGACACATCCAAACTATATCATACACTGAGGTCTTGCAGTCAGAGAAAAAAGGGTGTTTATTTGCAAGGCATCAATCAAGTATAATTGGGAAACTCACATTAAGATCTGACCTCCATGATTACTTACAAACAAGAGTTTTCAGGTCAGGCATGGGGCTAATGCCTGTAATCCCACCACTTTGAGAAGCAGAGGTGGGCAGATCACATGAGGTCAGTTTTGAGACCAGCCTGGCCAACATGGCAAAAACCCTTATCTACTAAAAATACAAAAGTTAGCCAGGCATAGTGGCACATGCTTGTACTCTCAACTACTTGGGAGGCTGAGGTAGGAGAATCACTTGAACCTGGGAGGTGGAGTTAGCAGTGAGCAGAGATTGTGTCACTGCACTTCAGCCTGGGCAACGAGTGCAAAACTCCACCTCAAAAATAAAAATAAAATCAAACAAACAAACAAACAAAGCAAGGGTTTTTAAAGGCAGAGGTATATTTCAGGAAGGCAGAAGTTACAGGCAAAACTGTAAATCAACACATGGAGATTATGCATTGGCTTGGCTGAGAAGGGTAAGATATCTTCGGGTTATAGGTGAACTCACAGAGTCTTTGACTTGTGATTGGTTAAGGAAGTGAAGCTTCATCTAAAATCTTAGGGTCAGCAGGGAGAAATGTTAAGATCCTGTCTGTGGGTGGGACTGTCTCCAAGACCCTTAGGAAGAAATTTGGAACAAAGAATGGAAGTCAGAATTAGTTCTTATCTGAGGTCTACATGCCAGCAGATGGCATTTTCCAGTTGGTGACAGTCTGGGTTTCTGAAAAACAACTCAGGGACATATGTTGAGATGTTATTTTTAGTTTCTATAGGAAACCAACGATCTTATGGCTCTAATTTTCTTGGTGATTGCTTTAATCTATTATTACCTTCTTGCTTATCAGGTTGCTCATTTAGCTCTCAAGGCTATCTAGGTGTCTTTAATTTTCCTTGAAGGAACTCAAAGTTTTCTTTTATTTTGATGCTTAGGGTGTGGGCCGTCAGGCCCTTAAGAGGGATCTCTATTCTATCTGTCCCCGGTCTTTTATCATTCCTCATTACTGAGGAATATGGGGATGCATAACGCTTTGGTTACTTCTTGTAGAATTTGGAAGATTGGGGACTGGGATATAAGAAGAGAAAGCTCCTAGCATGAAGCTTGAAATATTCATGGATCCTGGGCATTTCTTCTTGGTTTTGAACTATCATTATATTGGTTGCTTCAGTTACTACTTTATTACAACATTCTAATACACATTTGCCTACAATACACAGTATAAGCAAAAGTAGCAAGACTGACATGCCTAACTTTGCAGTCCAGAAAACATGACTGTATTTCATGAGGAATCCAAGAAATCAAAAAGAAAACCAGTCTTCAGGAACAGTCATGGAGACCCACCCATTGTGACCAAGTTGCTTGTGCTCCAATTTTTCTTAGATAAATGTCTATCGATTTAGTTTCATTTATGTAAGTACAATATGTGGCATTTGCAATCATACACACTAATCCCTGCTCAGCTAAAATGTAATTCAAGGGTATCCTATTAGCTAAGACAATGAAAGCCAATGAATTAATTCTTCTCTACTAAGTAGTTTTTTCCAACGCACCCCTTCGTAATATTTTATCCACTGACCCCACCCTGATCTTTGGCTATAAATTTCTACTTGCCATACCATATTGGAGTAGAACTTAATCTCTCTCCAACACTGGAAAATTTGATTGCAGTGGTTCTCATACCTGTCACAATAGTACCCTACTCCCTTGAGTAAAGTCTTTCTTACATGCTTTAACAATTATTAAATGTGTTTTTTCTTTAACAGTAGGGGTTGTCAATAGTATTATATGCCGCTTGTTGTTACTTCTGTCGCCCAACTATTTTCTTTAAGCACAGTGGCTGTGGTTGTTTTCTTTCTTGTTTTTGTTTTCTTTCTAATCCTATTGTAAGTCTTGATAAATATAGGTGACAATGTGCTCAAGTGTTCAGTGAATTCTTGTTGATTGATAAACCATAAACTGCTAGTTATTTTGTCATTATATATGTGTTCAATTAAACTTGATTTAGAATTAGTTAACTTTCTATGTTCTGTAAGTTGTAGCATTTATAGTTAAACCTAACTAGCTATTTCTTGAATGCTTATTATCTGGGTGAGAAAATAGTGCTAAATTAACCAAAATGATCTTTTACTGTAAAGAAAACAGTGCTAATAATACACAAAAATATTTGTAATTAAACAATGCAGACAAAATGTCTTGAGGGTACAATTCATTCAATTAACTAATAATAACAAAAGAATTGCTAGCTAAATACTTGCATTTTGCATACCTTTAGCACTGTGCTAGGCCTAGGTGTTAAATAAGTTTTATTTTTTATTTAATCCCAAAACAATCTTATAAATAAAATATTATTGTTACTTCCATTTTACAGATAAGATAAAATAGGCATATCAAGGCAGAGACACTTGTTCAAAGATCCATAACATGTACAGCTCAGAAGATTCAAACTATAAATCCATATGTTTAATCATTATGCCAAATAGCATTTATTAAATATTTGCCTTGTAAGCATACATATTCATTGTATTCCTGAAAAAAAACTTATTTACTCATTACATATTTATCCATGGTTTCTGAAATACAAGCTGAATATTTAAAAAAATATTTGTATTTCCATTTATGTAATCAACTTAGGGTTGTTTCGACATATCCTTGAGGCATTTGGTTTTTCTTTTCATAGGATCTTTTAAATTTATTTTTTAAGAATCATTATCTAATTAAAAGCAAACATACAAATCAATGTAGCCTGTCAAAGAAATACTAACCATTCATGGGATAAATTATAATTACAATGACAACAATGTCAAAAAAAGCAAAATGACCTATAATTACTTTATTGTTTATAATTTTTAACTCTATTTTAGGCTTAGTTGAATATGTAAAGATTTTTTACATAGGTAAACACGTGTCATGGGGGTTGTTATACACACTATTTTATCACCCAGGTATTAAGCCTAGTACCCAATTGCTATCTTTTCTGCTACTCTCCTTTGTCCCACCCTCTTCCATCAAGTAGACTCCAGTGTCTGTTGTTTGCTTTTTTTGTGTTAATGTTATTATCATTTAGTTTCCACTTAAAAGTGAAAGCATGTGGTATTTGGGTTGCTGTTCCTGCATTCATTTGCTAGAGATAATAGCCTCTAGCTCCACCCATGTTCCCACAAAAAAACACAATCTTATTTTTTTTTATGGCTGCATAGTATTCCATGGTGTATATATACCACATTTCTTTATCCACTTTGTCATTGATAGGTTTTTGGGTTGAATCCTTATCTTTTCTATTGTGAATAGTGCTGCAATGAA